TCAAACTCACGACCTCATGCTTACTAGGCAGGCGCTGTGCCACTGAGCTATATCCCTGGCCCTAAATTTTAAAAAGTTAAATATTTACATTAAAGTAACATCACAGATTGATAGTTTAAAGCACAGAATGAAAAGAGAACAAACTTTCTATATTTAGAACAAATTTTCTTTTCTCTGGCTTTGTGGTACTTTTTGGTGGGATTGAAGAAATCTGATCTGTCAGTATAGGCTCTACAGGTGGCTAGTTAACAGCCATGCAGATTGTTTAAACATTTCCTTTAAAAAAAAAAATAAAAGTTATATTTAGTACTGTTAAATTAGTACTGTGATTGATGAGATCGGATACCATCTAGGTGCCAGATAAAGGAAAGGGGCATGTGTGCTGACATTTGAAGCGTGGAGTCACCTTGGGAATTACTCCTGTGAAAGGGCACTGTTTTTCTTATTTTTAATTTTTGGGCCAGAAATACTTTCTTCAGACAGATTCACATCCTTCTTTTCTTTCTTTCTTCCTGGGCAGTCTACCACAGAGCTCCCTTCTCAGCCCTTTTTATTTTTATTATTATTATCATCTTTTTGGTACAGAGAATCAAACTCAGGACCTTGCACTTGCCAGGCAGGCGCTGTGCCACTAAGCTATATCCCCAGCCCTCCGTTTTATTTTTTGAGACAGGGTCTTGCTAAGTTACTAAGTTGCCAGAGCTTGAACTTGGGATCCTCCTGCCTCAGCCTTCTGGTGCTGGGATTACGGGCATATGTCACAGTCCCCGGCCATCCTTGCTTTTCTTTTTTGATAGCACCCCTGTGAAGAAAGTCAGGCATATTACTCCTGTTTGGGAGGTTGAGGAATGATGGCCGCCAGCCAGTTGGGGGTGGTAGAGTGCTCTGTGGTTGGTGCATACAGTCTCCATCGGACTCCCCTGCTATGACGTCCTCGCACTGTGACACCCCTGGGGTGCTGGAGATCCTCGCAGTGACAGCGGAGAGGAAATTTGGGGGACTAAATGAGGTAGCATTGGGAAGTGTTGTCCCCAACTGCTGTAGCCAGCTGGGGTGCAGGGGTGACTCGCCTTCAGATTTCTTTAATGTTCTTGTCATCAAACCAAAGTTTCTGCTTCTTGCAATTTGTGAAATACCCTCGCTTCCTTTTGTGTTAAAGGAGAACCAGTCACATGGTGAAGATATTTCACATCCACATAATCTGTTGCAGTTACGTTTATGTGCAAGTGATTTCACTGGCTTCCTCTTTCAAAAAAGCAGGACCATGTCTTATAGTCAGGAAAAAAAAATTTTTTTTTGTCTCTTTGAGACAGGGTCTTGCTATGCAGTTCAGGCTGGCCTTGACCTCACTTTGTAGCCCAGGCTGGTCCTGGAACTCACAAAGATCCTCCTGCCTCAGCTTCCCGGGTGCTGGGATTACAGGTGTGCACCACCACTCCTGGCAGTCAGGAAAATTTGAATAAATGTAAATGGTTGCATTAGGTTTTACAGTTTATTAAAAAGTTAACCACGGTGAACAGTAGTTCAGGTATACAAAGAAATATAAAGAAAGTATAATAAACACTATCTACCTCTAGTTTAAGAGACAACAATAAAGATACAACAAATGCTCACTGTCACTGCCAGTTTCCCACCATCTTGACGGCCCCGCAGACGTAACCACTGCGTGAGCTTGGTGTTTTCTGTTCATAACTGGGCTTTTATTTTATTTTTTTTTTTTTTTCAAGACCGGGCTTTTAAAACATGTCTTATTTCCCCCCCACAGCTATCTGCATCATATTGGTGCATTTACTCATCCGATACAGACTGCATTTCTTGCCGGAGAGTGTTGCTGTTGTTTCTCTTGGTAAGTGCTTATCGGGACCCCACGGTAAAAGCAGAGACAGTAACCACTGTCGGTCCCCCTCCACAGGTTCTTCCTGTTCGTTTCTGTTTTTTTGAAGACAAAGTCTCCCACATAGCCCAGGCTGGGCTTGAACTCACGGCAGCCCTCCTCCCTCAGCCTCCCAAGTGCTGGCCCGGCAACACACCCTTTCTGTGAGCTGCTTCTCTTTGTCCTTTGAGCACACTGACCTTACAGTTTAGGGTGGAGAAATGGCTCCCTCGTGTTAGTGAGAAGCAGCCACTTACTAGCTCTTTGTTTCCTGTGGCAGTTGTTAAGATAATTAGCTCCTAGGTGGAGTGGGTGAACCTGCATAATAACAGCTGTGAACACAGGCGCACTCTGTGAATGGTTAATTCACTGAAGAAAGAAGCAGGGACCTTAGTGAGTCAAATGCAAGGCTAAAATGGGGTAAGGATGCTTGAGGCACAGTAAATGCTTTTACTAAGGTTGCCCAAGGCTTCGTAGTTGACTATACATAAGTAGTTTTTTTGTTTTTTTAGACTAGGTTTCACTATGCACTTCACTGTGTAGCCCGGGCTGGCCTCGAGCTCACAGGGACCCTCCCACCTCAGCCTCCTAAGTGCTGGGATTACAGGTGTGCGCCACCACGCCTGGCCAGTTGACTCTATTCTCGTTACTAGTTTCCATTTGGCCTACTGATAAACATTTTTCCTCATCACCCTGACACCGTGTAGGTTATCTTTGCCTTCTAGGTCTTGTCTAATGGGGTAGGAATGCTTTCCAGTATGCGTGCGGTGGAAGTTAGCTTTGGTATATGTGCTGCCGAAGTGAGCACTGCAGGTTAGCTCTGGACATGAATGTTCGGACTCTGCTCTCCAGCCTGTCTGTCCCCTTCATCGCCTGCCTTCCTGCTACCCTGGTGCAGACCCTCCGGTGTTTCCCCTGGACCTACTCTGCGCTCTGGGAGGCTGAGGCAGGAGGATCAAAAACTTCAGGCCAGCCCCGGCAATTGAACAATTTAGTGAGACTCGTCTCTAAATAAACCATGTGCTGGGTGTGTAGCTCTGTGAGAATGTCCAGGGTTCAACTTTTAAATTCTAAAAGTTTGGTCTCTGCCCTTGTGGTAAGTACATGCCCCTTTCCCCTGGTGGGGGCGGGCAGTGAGTGTAAGGTCCATCTTGGCCGGTGACAGTAGAGGGAGGTGTGCTGGGAGATGTCCCCAATGTTTCCTTCCTGATAGAAATGAGAACAGTGCCCTTCCTTCCTGTAATTCTACTGATTGAGGAAGTGATGCCTGGAGCACCACTTGCAGCCACTGTGACTCAAAGGCAAAAGCCAGAGCTGGGCGTGGTGGCTCATACCTGCAATTCCTGGGAGGCTGAGGCAGGAAGATCAGGAGTTCCAACCCAGCCTGAGCAATTTAGTGACTTAGCAAGACCTTGTCTCAAAATTTTAAAAATTAAAAAAGAAAAACAACTAGAAGCCGGGCATGGTGGTTGTAATCTCAGCACTCAGGAGGCTGAGGCAGGGGAATCGCTGTGAGTTCAAGGCCAGCCTGAAGTGCATAGCAAAACTCTGTCTCAAAAAGACATCAATCAATCAATCAACAAAATAACTAGAGATGAGCTCAGTGTGAAGGCCCTGAGTTCAATCCCTAGTGCCACCAAAGAGGGAAGAAGAAGACAAAAGCCGCAGCGGTGCGTATTGCCAGGGGGGTGATGAGCAGCCCAGATGCTTGCCCACGTGGCCGTTGGGTTGAGGCGATACCACCTGGAGCCGCTGGTTTCGGTGCTGCTGTTCCATCCGACAGCGGACATCTATCGTTTACGCCATTTTTAGTCAAGCGTTCTTTTATTTGCCGCTAAGTGTCTTCACTAATACTGAATTTTTCCCATTTCACGAGGCCAAGCCCAATTTAAATGGATTTAAAGAGAACAGATTGGTGGGGGTGGGGCCACACACCTGTTGGCTCTTGTGAAGAAACACTGCGGGCAGCTCGAGCCTCAGGCAGCTGCCCCGACAGCTGGGCCAGGCCTTGCAACTCAGTTCTCCACTTTCAGGCGGTGCTTCCTGCAGCGCCACCCCCTGTGTGTCCCGGATTCTGGCTTCCGCCCCAGGCCGGCTGGCCGCAGCTGCCTCGGGCAACCTGGCCTGCCCTTCTCTCGGGCACCTGGGCTGGAGGACGAACTCCCTAGCGCCAGCTCTGAACCCGAGGGGTGGAGTGGTGCTGGAGTCCCAAGCTCTCCACCCACGGCACCTTCCTCCCTCGGCCTTGCTGGACCTGCAGCCCGTAGAGCCAGCCCTTGCGGCCAGCAGTGGACAGTGAGGCCTGCTTTCGGTACTGCTGTGCACACTCGGCTGCCTGGAAGGCAGTGAGCACCCCCTGGGAGAGTGCTGGGGTCCCAGAAGTATCGTCATCACATTAGAAGACGTTTCGTTAGAGTCCGGAAGTGCTGACAAAGCAGTGAGAATAGTCCCACCTTTCCTAAAGCCATAGAAGCAGAAGCAAAACCTTTCCCCAGCCAGAGCACCATGTAACAAAATTCTGAGATAAAATGGTCAACTTTCTTTTCGGGGTTTGTTTTTTTTTTTTTTCCTGGTACCAGGAATCAAACTCACGACCTCAGGCACTTATGCCACTGAGCTACATCCCCGGCCCAAAATGGTCAACTTTTGTGTCAAGAAAGAATCCACAAGAAGCAACCAGAGAAAGTGAGGTTCATCCTTTCAGGGATAACCTCTCCCAGCCAGAGGTTGCACGTAGCCTGCCGCAGCTTGGAGCCCTTGCTGGCCGTCCGTGTTCCCAAGTAACACATGGTATAGGAAAGAACACGGGCCCACCTGCACCTAAAAGCATTTCCCCTGCTACTTTATTATATTTTCAAACGAGGGTCCAGTCCTTTTCTCCTTCGTTGTAGAAAAAGAGCATCGCGGTGCAGTTTGTTTTTTGCAGTGCTGGGTGTCGTGCCCAGGCCTCATGTGGGGTAGCCGGGCCCTGTGCTGCTGAGCTGCACTCCCCGGCCTTTCTATTTTGAGTGTTCCAAGGAGCTGAGTCAGCATGAAAATCTGAAAAGATTTCCAGCCGTTATTCAGAGCTTTTAGGATACTTCCTATATTTTATACAATTCTGTATTTTTGACTTAAAAAAAAAATTTCCCCCATCAAACCACTGTACAGGAAAAAGAAAAATCCTGTTCATTGATGTCTTCCACTATTTTTATTACGCTTTATTCTCTTCCAGGCCAAGTGTAGATATACTTTTGTGTGTGTGTTCTTTTCCTTTTCTTTTTGTTCTTG